CCTTATTGAGAAATACAAATTAATTCTTGAGGTTAGTTAAACCAATACTATAAAAAATGGTGACGATTGATCCTATAGCATTTGAAATATTTCTCTCCTAAAGCTTCATTACTATATTAATTTTTCTTGGCAAAATCAATTTTATTTCAGATTTTTCTAATTTTAAACAATACACTGAATTTCAAACTAAAATTATTATGATTTATTTAGATCAATATTAATTTTTAACAAGAATTACTTTGATTATTTTTCTAGCTACTGTAATACCAGAGCAGAATAATTTCCCCTTGACAACAGGGATCCAGAAAGGTACAGAATGATTTTCAAAGTTCTGGTATCAGTATCATTTATACTTTGTCTCTAACGCAGGGTAGGCAAAATAATAATATTTGTTTGAGAACTTAAAATATAACATTGGGCAATAAATGTTCATAACTAATTATAGGAGGAGATTCTTTCTTATGAAAAAATATGGAGAAATACTTATTTAAAATCACTATGCCCATTGTTGTCGACTGGCTCAAAGGTAAATAATTTCGGTATTCAAAAAATTAATTTTGTTCATTGACATTCAGGGCATGTAGAGAATGGACTTTTTGTTTGTGTGTTTGCTTTATTTGAGCTCATAAATTAGGGAATGAGAGGCTGACCCTTGTCTGTGAGTGTGTGTGATTGTGTTATTTTATATGCACCAGCATGTGAGTATGCATAGATGGATTGTGTGTGTGTGTGTGTGTGTGTGTGTGTGTGTGTGTGTATGTACTGGGAGTGCCAAAAATGTATACAAGAGGATACTTTGGTCAACGTTGCTCAAGCAGTAGTTCGCCCTAATCAGAAGTGTCTAGATGCTGATGGCAACCACTGTGAACACCTCTTGTAATTGCAGAAGTCAAACATGACTTGTTTTTTTTATTATCAGTATATATTAATACAGGTTTTTTCCTTTCTTAAAATGTATATACATTTGTTGGCACCCTCTGTATACGTATTTTATCTATGCTAATAATTAAGATAATTTTCATTATTCTGAATTCAAATTGTTTTTTATAATAATTTCTTCAGCATATCGTTGTGGTCATTGTCCAAAGGATTGGTTTACATATTCCAACAATTGCTATTACATTAGCACTGAAAGAAAAATATGGAATGAGAGTTTGATGGCCTGTGCTTCTGAGAACTCTAGACTGCTTTATATAGATAATGAAGAAGAAATGGTAAGATTTTTAAATCTCTCAAACACTTTACTAAGGACTTATTTCAGTCAATATAATTTGTGTGGAATTTTTTGTATGCATTTGTAGTTGATTTAAGTCTGCATAATATTCCATGGTTGGACTTATTATATTTTATTTATATTTATAGCACTAATGCACATTTGATAATTTGAAGATCCTATTTTTCAAAGAAAACCATGCTTGTATAAGTGCTTTTTTAACTAAAATAAACTTTGCTATTTAATTTTACCATATATCAAGGAAATTAAACATGTCATGTACAGATTAATAACAAACTGAAAAGATTCACATAATTACAAATCAGATCATGAAATAGAATTTTCCAGCCCCCAGTCACACTGCCCCTCGATGCTCTTATCACTTTTCATCCCTTTTCAATTAAATAATATTCTTATTTTTAATGTTATAAGTTATCTTTTCTTATTTTTCAACTTTATACAAATATAATTATTCAGCATGAATATTTATGTGTGTCTCCTTTCACTCCCATGTACTATTTTGCCATTTATCTATATTATTGCAATTATCTGTAGTTTAATTTCAGTGCAGAAATATATGAATATGACGCATTTTAATCTGTTGTACTCAGAACTTTGCTTGCCTTTTAATATGTAGGTAGCATAAATTTTTTTAATGAAAGTCCTTGTGTATGTCTTTTTTCCACATATTATGTTGCATATATAATAATTTATATATTATACATATTACATATATATGTACCAATTTATATTTATATAGTAAAATATCATATTTATATTAACATAAGTTATAAATATAATTATATTATCATAATTGTATTTGTATTATAACAATATCTTGTCCTCTATGCATTAGAATGAAATTGCAGGTCATAAATATATGTTTATGTCAAAATTATTAAATTATCCCAATGTTTTTCTAGTTTATTGTATAAATATTCCCTTGATCCCAAACTTAGTGCAATCGGTAATTTTAATATTGTAAGGTCTGATCATTATGTAACAGCATCATTATTACATCAATAGCATTTTCTTGATTACTATTAGGCTGAACACATTTACCTCGGCTATTTTAATCATTAGGACATTCTCTACTGTGAGAATGAGAAGTGCCTGTCATGTCTCTTGCACGTTTCTTATATTTTGGATATGAGCTCTTTTTTATTTTATGAGATTCATATAGCTTTTTTAGCTTTGTGACTACATTTTTATTCTTATATTGGAGTCTTTTAATGGCTAGAATTTATTAGTATTTTTGTTTGTTTGTGTGTGTAATTCATTAGTTGCTTTCAGTTTTGCATCCCACATATGAGTGAAGTCACATGGTTCTCTACTTTTTCTGATTTATATCACTTAGCGTGATAATCTGAAGATCCATCCATGTTGTCGCAAATGGCAGTATTTCACCTTTTCTTATGGCAGAGTAGTATTCCATTGTACATGTGTACCACATCTATTTGAACACGTCCAATCACGTCCCATTCCATTTTCACACTGACTCAAGCCACCTGATAATCCTGCCTTTTCCCTCAAGATTATTTCTTTATGTCTTCAATGTTTTTCATCATTGATTATAATGTTTGAGATGTGTATTTCTATGTGCTGAATCTATTAGTACTTTGCTGAGCCTCATATGCCTATAGTATTTTTTAAATTTAAGAAGTTATTTATTTATTATGTCTCAAATTGTTTTTCTGTCTTTTTCTCAGACTATTTATACCTATGTTGGTTTTCCTTTTTCAAAGGCCTCTGATGCTCTGATTATTTTTCTCTCTCTCTCTCTTTTTTTTTTCTCTATCTTCTGGGTTGAATAATTTTTTTAAATTCAATTTCATTAATTCTCTTTCTGTCTGAAATTTAATTAAATTGAGTAAATTTTGCATTTCAGAAATGTTGGTCAGCTCAGAATTTCTTTCATTCTTTTTATTTTATTACTATTTTAAATAAATAACAGAGATTTATTTTCTCACAGTTTTAGAGGCTGGGAGCCCAAGATCAAGTTTTATTTCTCCTGAGGTCTCTCACCTTGGCTTGCAGACAGCTGTCATCTCACTGTGTGTTCACATGGTCGTCTCTCTGTGCATGCACGTGTGTGGTGTCTCTGTCTGTATCCTAATCTCCTCTTCTTATAAGGACACCTTATATTGAATTGGGGCCCACCCTAACAACCCCACTTTAATTTAATTACCTATTTAAGGCCCTCTATCCAAACTTCAGTCACATTCTGATGTCCTATAGGATTAAAGCTTCAACAAATAAATTTGGGGGAGACACAATTCAGGCCATAACTTCTGGACATCTAGAATGTTAAAATCAATCAGGGAAGGAATTTATTTCAACTCCTGACAGCTTTTGATTACCAAACCCTAGCAGAAACTATCTGACATGACATTTCATACTTCACTTTTAGATTCCAAATCATTTTCTACACAAGAAAATTTGCAGGAACAGAGAAAACAAAACCAAATCCATTCATTACCTACTTCTTGCTAAGCAGGGTCAGTGGCTTACGGGGAAAAAACAGCAAAATCGTCTGTGTTTCTATTAAGTGCTCATTCTAACTTTTTATGTTTTTTATTAAATTTATTGGGGTGACATTGGCAAGAAAAATTATATAAGTTTCAACTTAAAATTCCATTTGATTCACTTATACACTCTTTATTTCTTAATTTATATTTCCTACATGTTTTGTCACTGCCATCATATTCAAAGTTATTTGAACACAGTTTTCTTTATAATTTGTATATATTTATAATATTGCTTTAAAATATTTTTTCTACTAAATCTAAAATATTATCCTAGTGAAAGTTAGATTCTATTGACTGATTGTTTTCCCTAGTATGGAAGACATTTTCCAATAGTCTTTGTATTTTTTTTCTAATTAGGCATTTTGGATAATATTATGTAGTAAAATTGTTTCTGTTTCATTTTTCTTGGATTTATTATATTTTTGTAACTTGTATAAATTTGTAGTGCAGAATCTTATAAAGTGTGCTTGCTTATATATCTTCTGAGCTTTTAAAATTCTTATTGTTTATTTGTACCCTGGTTTTCTAGGTATTTCCCTTTTGTGTACGTAGTTTGGTTGAAAACCAATGATTATGTTTCTTTAATGTATTCAAATACCTTCAGTCTACAGGGCTTCCACACTGATATTTGATGTACTTGTGTGTGTGTGTGTGTGTGTGTGTGTGTGTGTGTGTGTGTGTGTGTGTCTATATTGGGGAGTGCTCATAATTTTGCAATTAGTTTTCAAGTCCCCTTTGACTATGTTTTTTACTGGGATCATCTTTCTCTCCTCTGCACAAGTGCACATTTGTTTCACCAGCCAAGAATGTGTACAGAGCTAGTGTCATCTCTGCTATTGTGCTCTCCTTTTTATTTCCTCTCCATTATATTTGTGGCTGGCACTGTGTGGACACACAGGAGACTACGAGCTCAGACTAGAAAAAGGGTGGGTTTTCCTCTTTTTTAACCTTGTGAATTCAGCACTTTAAGCTGAAAACTTAGTGAGCAATTTAGCATCCCCTTCCCCAATGCTAATCAAGTCTGTCCCTGTGGCAACACCACCAATGATTTTTGCAGCCTTCTCCAAATT